TGTTAGACAGGGAGGAGAACCGGAAAAATGTTGATTAAAAAAAATATTGGAGCAAACTAAACCAGGAACTTTTTTTAAACCGGTCATGTGACAGTAACGTCATGTGTTGTTACGTGAATGTGTAAAAAATTGCTGATATTTGTCCTTCAACGACTAAGAGATCTGATATTTTTGTGGCAACGACTAAAAGATTACATATAGCGTAGTTTTAAATAAAAAATATAATGAAACAAGCTATATTGACTATATTTGGATCCATGGTTATCCAATATGTGAATACATATGTTACATATTACAAGAAGAAGAAAGATGCAAGGAAGAAAATTCATCAGGAGTTTAAGTTTTGTATGGATGAAAAAATATTACAATTTTAATGAAATTTTTGGAAGAAAAAAACTAACAAATTCTATGAAGTTAGATATATTATGTGAAATAACTTACTTGAAAGAAACCGAATTGTTGACATGCCAAACTAAGCTCTTGAATAACCCGGCGACGTTCATCATTGCCACTTCTCAACCGAGAAATATCGATGGTTGGTACAATTTCAGAATTCGACTTTAGCGCATCACGCGACTCGCAGGAAGGTGGGACGACATAACAATCGGGCACATACGGTAAACTTCTCTCTTGCGCAGAATTCCCCATTTTGAATGTACTTGAATTCTCACCTTTCTCATTCTCCATTGCTGAGATTTGAATTGAGTGCTGATTATTTGGTTAATAATGTGAAGGGAAAACTAAAAGAGAAAGTGCGAGTGGCTCCTCTATAAATAGGGTTTATAGCCGTCTATAGACATTTCGGGTATGTATTAAAATGACGGTCGATTACTAAATTATTATTTTTTTTTTTTGGAATATCTAGAGCACATGTGTAACTGTCAAGTGTATATGTGTACCAAAAACGAATCATAATGAATATACATTTGTTGTACGAAATCTATAAGAGTGACCAAATTCATATATGACGGGGGACATTAACAAGATATTGGGATATAGGATATAAACACTAATATATATGGATCAATTTTAATGGTTACTCATTCATAGTACCATCTACAAAAAAACAAAGAAAAACTTTCCGCAAAAAAGCATCCGCTTGTCCGGGTTTTAAGCCTTAATAAATACGTTGAACACATACGTACGTGAATTTGTACATTAGTTCGGTATATATGTCGTATGAATTTGTATACATTATGTAAAGAATTATGAAATAGTTTTAGGGCCCATAGTTTTATGGTCTTGCAAGAGGTGTCTAAGTAATATGTATTGCGCCGGTTTCTTCATGTAATGGGTTCCTTTTTATTATTAAGTTTATGAACGTAGAAACTTTAGAGTAAAAAAACTATGGGTACTAGTGGAACATATAGGCTCTGAAAAATAGTAAAAAATAATACCCTACTAATTTTACCAATAAAAAGAAACGGAGCTGGAAATATCTCCTTTTTATTATGGGAAAACCAAAACACAAGAACAAAGAAAGTGGGAATTTTGGTTTTCATCTTGTTTTTTCCCTCTAATTGTCAGTGACACCCTAATTCTTTTTTATAGTTGATAGACGTATAATCTCTATAGATACACGATGGTAAATAAAACTTAACAAAAAAATTTGGTTATCATAGAAATTATATTGTAGGAACAAAACAATTGTTTTCTTGTAGGACAAAAAACTTGACTACTGTATTTTAACTTTTTATAATAAAAAACCAATAGCTTTTTGTTTTATGCATTTTCCAAAAGAAAAAGAGAGTTACACGGGAAGCCTCTGGAATCAAATTAGGTGGATTTGGTGAAGAGAAACACTCACGATTAGTCGAGAAGTTGAACACCCCTTCAATGCCAATTCCAAGCCCATGCGAGTATTTTCGAAATATGAAAAGTACATAATAACATGCGAGTATTATCAAAATATGAAAAGTTCTTAATAACTAATAGACATATAAAATAAATTAAAATCAACCAATGACAATAATCACGTTATATAAAATCATTAATTGGTTTTTTTGTTTGTTATCTATTGTATTTTATATATTGAAAAGATAGACGTCATAATTAAATACTTTTTTTTATCAATACTCAATAAATAAAACAACTTGTGTACACCAATTTGCAAATAAATAAGAATCAGCATTTTTGGGGGTAATTGAAGAGGTTTGGGTTGAAACTAGCTCATACATTTTCACATCAAAAATTTAAATAAATTCCTACCAAGCAACGTTCGAATCAACTAGCACTATAGAATTCTTTATAATGCATCCGTAATCCATTGATATAGGAATTTCCATACCACTAGACCATTTATAGATTTTGATTTTTTTTTAAAGGAGTTACTGCATTATTTAACGGTCGTCACAACAATCTTCCCTAGTCAAATCAAATTTAAATCCCAAAATTAGTATGTTCGACAATCCATAACACATTCACAAAATTAAATATGAACTACTTCTTCAATATTGTTTTCAAAACAAAAATTAAAAATTAAAAACTAGTTCAATATGTCTTCATAAAAATTTTACCATTTAGGGTTGTCCACTTTACCTAACAGCACAAAAATTCTATGAATTATGAAACACGAAAAAACTGTTAAGAAAAACAAATCAAAAGCCAGGGAACAAAAGCATATCATATATGTTATATGGTGGTTGCGATGTTAGGTTATCCACCAACGAGCAACCTTAACCTATGCCTT